GCGCACACGCACAGAGATATATATATATATATATATATATATATATATATATATATATATATATATATATAGGTAATGTGTTGGAACGTTGGTAGCTCGGGTGTATTAGCTGGTGATTCGTCAGGTGGCTGTTGATCTGAACGCAGAGCTTGACAATTGATTTGCAAAGGTTTCGTCACCATTCGAGGAGACATCTTCATTGCGCTGTTGGTTCCTCTCCTCGTGCCTGCGTTTGTATAGTCTACAAAGAGCAGTCTTCGCGCTGTAACCTGGACTCTGGTCGGTCCGATCTCACTCCTATTTCCAGTAGCTTGCTGTTCTATTGATTTCTCCTTCGAGTCCTTGTTCAACCTCAGGTTTTGTGGTTCTGGATTTCCTTTGTCCTAGGAGGTTGGTAGGCAAGATCAATCTCAATGCGCTTGTTTATTGCTCCATCAGTGGAGTGCCATGCCTCCATGAACTCGCGTTCTTTCTTTGTTCTTGCCTGGCCCGATATTCTGACATTATTCCAATGGAAATTGTGTCCTTCTCCATCTTCGTGTACAGAGATGAGAGAGAGTTGGTCGTATCTTCTGGTGGCGAGCTTGTGTTCGTTGATTCTGGTTGACAGTTTCCTCACTGCTTGTCCTACGTAGTGTTTTTCACAATCGTTACATTGAATCTTTTAGATTACATTTGTCTTTTCCGTCGCATTAAGTGTCCCTTTTGGTTTTGATAGTACTCTTCGCAGCGTGTCAGTCGGTCTGTGAGCCACTTTTATGGCATGTTGTCGTAGTATCTTGGCGGTTATCTCCGAAATGTTTTTGATACATGGTAATGTGATTGTTTTGCTTGTGTTTCCGGTTGTCGAGTTGGTTGGGTTGCATTTTCTCAAAGATTTCCAGACGAAATTCCTTGGGTAACCGTTCCTTTGAAAGATTCTGTACAGGCGTTTCTCTTCTTTCGCATTAGATTCTACTGTTGCAGTGTTTCAAATTGCATCTCTGTTTGTGGCAGTTTGGGTGGTTGCTGTGGTAGTTCAGAATTTGATCCGTGTGCGTAGCCTTTCTGTAGAGTTCTGTTTGCATTTGTACATTCGGCAACCTTGTGACGAGGACATCTAAAACCGCCAGCTTGTTGGTGTTTTCCTCTTCCATCGTGAACTTGACGTCATCGGAGACAGTTTATCAATTGGATTGATCGTTGTAGTTCTCTCTTCTTGATAATGACAAAGGTGTCGTCTACATAACGTATCCACAACTTCGGGTTGATATCCGGCAACACGATCCTCTCCAATTTTTGCATTGCAATCGCGGCCGCAAACAGAGTCGTTTTTGTCCCCTAGTGGCAATTAAGGTGGAAACAATACCCCCCCCCCCAAAGAATATCAGACACAAACATCGGAAAAGGAAATTGAATGAATCTTTGAGCATACTTGAACTGGTGCGACACGTGGAGGCAAGACCAAGCCTTTATTGTCTCCGTGCATCATAAATAGTACACCAAGGCTGCGAGTTGTAAAGCCCCATGAATTCTGGTACACGTGAGCGGGCATCCCCGTGGTCGGGTGATCGTAGGTCACATCGAACATTCGACTGAAATTCTGACCCAAATGATGAGAAGTTGCGCCCTGAATCGCACGACCGGTTCCGCTAATGTAAGCCTCAACGGTGGTTGTGTAATCGGCTCCCGCAAATTTTTCTTTCTCCGTCTTCCGTCCTGAAAACCACGAAGTGATATTAGATATCGAAGTAAAATGTGCTCAGCAGCAAGTACAGTGATACGTTTCAGGGAGTACCATCATCGTTGCTGACAGCAACCACAATGCGGTGTCGCATCTGGGTTTATTTAAATAGAACTCTGTGATGAGACTAACGAAATGAGACAACGACCAAACGTTGAATCGAATAAACTTGGCAGAAGACGATAATAGATACTCAGTTGACACTGGCTGGTGGTCATTTCATCAGTCTGGCTAGCCAAGCCAGTGACAGTTATGTGGATCCTAACGTGGAAGGTGGACATCACACACGGCACCACGGTCATGGCCTTTACACCCATCAGCCAAGTTCTACTTGGCTAAGTATGCGTTACGTTGAATTTAGCATCTCACTAGACAATAATTCGACAAGTAGTGCACACGACCGAGCCACCGCTGTGTGTAGTACTACCCAAAGAAAACTGCTTAAAGTAATATTCATTCCCTGATTAGCTCATCTCGGATTCCTTGATGTCATCGTACACCAACTATGATTCAGAGACATCGACGACGGAGGGTCTGGATGCACAATTAAACGCTGTGACTAGATAAAATGAATTTGATGAAATCAATCAGCACTGGTTATTCATCCATTCAGAAAAAAATCGAGAACAATATTCTGCAAGGTGTTCACGTTAAACGATGGTCATGCTCCATGTTCTCCTTTGTTCATTGAATATCTACTCATTCAGTATGCTAGAACTACCTGCTTCCATTCCTCATTCCACAATGTGGCTTTAAGATGACAGTGCAAATTTAATAAACAAGACCTAGCACTAAGATCATCGGCCCACCAAGGGATCCGTTGTTCATATCCTTCAAGTTTGGGGGCATCAAGCAGGATTCCGACCATTCAGGAAAGATAGTGGCCGTTGCATTACGGTAAAAGGGTCAGCAGCGCAACAGATCTCCGACCAACAACCAGTTGGCATCGTGGTTCAAACCCGATCTCTGGTCTACGAATTCTCCTGTCTAGGTTTGGGCAACCTGGCAGTATCCCAGACCTTGTGCTTCCTTCCGGTGGCATGACAGCTAGACACCGGAAGGGTGCTACAGCTGAATAATTTTGATTTTTTAGTTGACTTCAGCAGGGCCTATGATTCCGTGGAAACACTAGAATCTAGGATATGACTGGACAAATAAAAAGGCCCTATGGTTTGTAAATATATCTCACGTTATCCTTTCCAAAACCGCAATTAAGTAGTACACAAGCCAGTACTCCGTGACGAATTACAATCGCTAGAGCAGCGAATAGGGCTCCTCAGGTTAATGCATGGGATAGGCACCACGTTTTCGCGACCACTGGCTGTCAAAGAAAGCGTAGTTTTCTATTTCGGAACCTTACTGGCGGAAAATTTTTGGGGGCAGTCCATGACACAGCAACAGTAAAACTGAGAGCCGCGGGATTCTCCTCACAGGTGGTTGGAAACCTACCGACACTAGTAGTGGGCCGATAATAAATTGCTGGACTGTCCAGCCAAATTACGGCTACTATCATGTCCCAGACTTTTGTTTGATAAGTTCCGTAAAGATGCCCGACACCAGTCGTAAGTGGAATATTATCCCGACCATCGCTTAGTAAAACGGTATTCTAACGTGCGGTCACTTTTCCTCAGAACATATGGTTTCCTTTCAGGAATTCAGCAACACGTAAGTACAGATTTGACGCGCTGCTGCTCAAGAGCAACTCCATGTCCACTGATAAAGATGAAATGAGGGCTAAACACATGAAATTTCCGAGTTGTTCAACTTTATTTAAGGTGGATCCGCGCAGTCACCTACCGAAAATCGTGTACATTTGACGACACCGGTTCATCCTTGGAGTACAGCAGCGCGGATACGCACAATGCAAACAAGCGATCTTGCAGAAGCAACAGTGTATTTTAAGATCTCGAGTCAAACCATAAATAGGCGCGGATTAAACAGGTAGTTCTTACCTCTGACGACCGGAACTGCCAGCAGATCTTGATACACCTCCGCATACAGATCCAGAATAGTGAGGACCTCGGCCTCTGCATCGGCTTTTTCGGCGAAGGCAGTGTGTCCTTCCTGCCATAAGAATTCTCGAGTTCTGAAGGTCATTTAAGTTGTACACCAGTTACATAAGCCCCATGAGAAAAATACCGTGAACTTATCGCAAGGAATGAAGCAACTGGACTGGATCGTTAAAAGCCAATGAGCGCTAACAAAACAGAGGAAACAGACACTATTTGGTGCATTAAAGATTTACAATCGCACATTTATATCAGGGATTTTGATCAAAAAATGAAGAAAAACCGTTTTAAAAGTCACTAAAATTGACATATTTGCTATTATGGAGCCATATACTGGAACAATGCGCAATTATTGTGTCGGTCATAAATTGTTATGGCAATTCAGCAATGATGTGCGGAGAACCGGTCACATCAAGCAGAAAAGAACAATTATGTACGTCTTCGAAAGAACTTCCCCAGTGGGCGTTTGCTTCACTCTTAAGCTTTCAGTGTTGGGTGACAAACGGGCTAACTACGGTGTAATAGCTCATTTATACTGTGCTGAAAGTGACATACCGAAGGAAAGGCTGTGGATGTTTGAATTCCCAGCGAATCACGTTGTTCCATTGATTCAAGCGTAATGGGAGATCACGGTGCGACTGAATCCACTTAGCGAAAGCCGGATACATGATCGTCTCACTTGTCGGACGCACTGCAACGGGCTCAGCCAGCTCCGAATCGCCTGACCTAGTCACCCAGGCAACCTAAGTAAGTGGATAGACAAATGAATAGTAAGATGTGTACGAACACCTCAAAAGGCGCCAGCAACAAAAAGACTGTCCACCTACTTCGGGGGCGAAATCTGCCACGTGGGTCTTTTCGCGCTCCAGAGCACTCTTGGAAACAAAGATGGGAAAGTAAGCGTTCTCAATTCCGATTGACTGTAAACGGGCATCAATGAACCGCTGAAGCGTTTGCCATATGGAGTAAGCCCAGGGGCGAATAATGTAGCACCCACTAATGTCATAGTATTCCAAAAGTTCAGCCTTCGTGATCAGTTGTGAATACCAATCGGCGAAGTCTGTTTCTTTTCGCGCTTCCAAAGCCAACCTATGGATAAAAGTGAGATCAAATGATAGAATGTAGAAAACGAGGTAGTCGGACCAACCATCATCAAAGGCAGCAACAGTGAAGTTAACACTGATGACTCGTTGCCATGCAAACCAAATTTATCTTATTAACGTACAAAAAGAGTGAACAGAAAGTAGACCACGCTAGCCTGAGATACCCACACCTCCGAACACTGAATCAGACCATCTGGACAGAAACCGAAAGAACGAACTCCGCTGATCACCTATCTGCCATGTATCCCAGTGTTCCAATGGAAATACAAGACTATCCGCATCGCACCAAGCGTGTCAGAGCTCTCCACAATACCCCTTTTGGCACGTCGCATGTGGTCCATTTCGCAGTTCTATATGTTTACAAGACAACGCCAAACTCAGCATTCACCGTACATTACCAAGCCACCGTAGGTAGTTCTGAGTGTTCTCCTCAACCGCTGCAGGCAACGAATTCGTCATCCATTGGCAGCAAAGTTTGCATTATCAAAGGTATGGAGCCTGAAGACACTTCAGATCGTCCATTCACACAGGTCATGTTCTGCAACCACGTAGTAACTAAATCCGTATTGCTAGCTGTTACACTCCTGGAGACCCAGTGATAAGCCTTTTGACGCCACAGGTGAATTGAGTAAGTGGACGTGATTCAAATCTTCAAGAATCATCATGCACTCTCTTCGCCACAACTCCAACGCTTCTACTGAAGCCTGCGTGCAATAAGCACGCCAAAAGGTGGCACGACGGTGATTATTTTATCAAATAACGCTTTTTTTCCCTATCCGTTCTGTATTCCTCTTTCAATTCAGGGGGAATCGAGCGTGCAAACAAGAGTGATATGTTTTCCTGTTGAATATATAGTGTGAACATTAAAAGCAGTGCAGTGAGCCGGGTTTCGGGGTTTGAAAATTGGATACCGTTGCTGCGTATGGGCGGGCAGAGGTTCTCGCTGAGATTGATGCAAGGCGAAAGGAACCTTTAGTCCTAAGCCCAGGACCTGTAGAAAGCGCACTGCTAATAGAGTGGGATAGAGAAGAGAGAAAATACACGAAAGAGGGAAACACAAGCAGCGGCGCGTCTTCGTTTACCTGCCTACTGTATGCAACCAATAAGGCGACCGAGATAAAGGTATTAAGTAATGGTTGTGACGAGTGGTCAGGCGTAGATGTAAAGTTCATGGTTGTGAAAGGCCTTGGATACTTCTAGGACGTCGTTGGCTTCAAAGCCTGATTGCAAGGCAGCAGATTCCAACAGTGATATATCGAACAAATCACCATGCATGTTTCCAATAAGTCACCTGGAGATATAACAACCTGTCTTAGGCTTTTGAGACTGTGGGCATCACAGCCAAATCCTCCAGTGTAATTCAACGGCTAATACAGGTTTAACTATTGTCTCAGTGCGATACAATGTAGATTTGGAAACAGCAAGCTGTGTCTACCCAGCCCGATCCTCGACTCCGGGAGCCATAATCTTCCTTTGGTAGGCGATGCTACGTGAAGACTCGTAAGCAACAAGCACTAGCTGAGTGTTCACCAGAGGCATTATTTTGTCTGAAGCAACAATAAAAAGACATCACATTTTTATGACATTCCGTCCTCAACTAACCTCCGAGCTACCAAGCATACAGAAGGAAGGCCGGTAGACTGTTCGTAGGCCTTAATACGCAGACTGGAAACACACGTAGAAAAACAAAACTCCGACGAGTACCCACAGATACAGTCTGTATGCTTGTGATACCCCCTGAAAAAAGCGCACCTGCGATTGATGTTTCAAGAAAAGTTAAGGGAGCGAAAATCGGTGACTGAAACCATGAACAGTGATGACAACCAGGGATTCATCATTTGCCGCCGTAGCAGACGTACATCACTCAGTGGTTGAAGCGCGAACTTACCGACCAGGATGCAAGCGGTTCGAGCGCAACTTCGGCATCTGGATTACTTGTGTCTAGGCTTGGGTAACCTGACAGTAGCTCAATTCTCGCGCTTCCTTCGGTTGGCATGATAGCTATACATCTAAGGGGTGCTACAGCTGTACGACTACCGATTAAACGAAGCTGTGACCACATCCCGGAAGCTCTACTGTACAAAGTAGATCATAAGGTTGACGGAAACTCGGGGATTGTGCCTACCTGATAAGCCCCAAGAAGGGCGAAACCGGTCGTGGGCTGTCGAAGAGTTTTCAGCAACCTTGTGAGTTGTTTCCCTTACGAAAGTCTACTGTACAAAGCTTTTTGTCCTTACGGAGATTAAACAGATGGGCACAGAGCGACTAAACGAGTGGGTCAGTTACTGGAGGCTTTAGAATGCTGATGACAGAAGCACGCACCCATCGACCGATAATTGGCCACAATGGAGGTTTGTTCTCATTACAACCACCCGCCGACTGTCAACAGCCAGTTTATGACAACCTCCACACTTAATTAGATATTGAACCAGTGAGTCGTGATAAACAGTACCTAATCAACGGCATAAATTAGTTTCGGAATAAAGATGTAGCAAAAACAGAAGCTTCACAGATGTTTAGCCTGAAAACACTGTCCGCAAATCAATGTATATCCATCTGCAAGATTGACAGTAAGACAGCATTTTCAACTCCAGAAAACGGTGCAGTGCAGAAACAAGAATAAATTTGAGCTTTATGCATTAGGTATCAACCAAAGAAGACAATTGGTGTGAACATTTCTGTATAACCACGATCAAAGTGTTGTTACTCTTATACTCTATTAACTGGATTTTACTCACTTCGTTTGCTTTTTGGTCTGTGATTTACTTTCTGGTGCATTGGACTTCTCATCCTTGATCTTTGTTGCAGCTGGAACAAGACATGGCTCCACTGCAGACGTAGGCTGCTCAGTCATTCTTTCTTTTGGTTGTGACTGTTGTTGTTGTTGCTGCTGTTGCTTGTTCTCTTTTGCTTTGGCTCGACCTTCCTTGCGCGCCTCCTTCTTTTCTTCCTTTTTCCGTTGTCGTTCCGCAGCCTTCGCTGCTTCCTCTGCTGTCATTTCAGTTGTCGCTGGAGTCTGCACCTGAAGAAATGAACATATCGGTTCCAGTCGATCAATCGGGCATAGAAATAAGGAATGAGTTGGAACAGTAAAGCCAAAGTCGACGGAAAATCGAAAACCGAGAGGACTTGAGTAGTTAGACGGACTACAGAATCCTACTTTTTAGTGCTGGAGTGAGTCCCTCACTACCCAGTTGGTCAAGTGACATACACCATGGCGAATTCTTTCGGACTACACATTACAAACAAACCAATCCGGTCACTTGAGGCCCTCAAACAGTCAGACGAAATGAGCATACGTGTAGGCCAATAGGAGATGGGTCCAGGAGAAGAGCTAAGACATTCAGAGAGAGGCGGGTTTATTACCCCATAGCCCCTTCACTCAGTAAAGTATAATCCTGGGTACGATATCAGCTAAGCGGACACTGAAGAACCCGTCAAAAATGAGACCGAGGATATCTGGGTGGATAAACGTTTAACTCGTAACAAGAGACAAACTAAGAACAAATATAGAGAAACTCCATTCAGAGCAGTGCAAAAACAAGATAGAGAAACCGTTCATGACCTAGGACTGTCAACGACTCGGTTATGAAGATAAATTCCCTCCCCTCCTGAAAACAGGCTTCTCCAGTGTTCTCCGTTAATCCCAATACTGGCTCTCACATCTAACAAACAAGTGTTCCCCTCACATCTTTTCCAGACGTTTGGTCTTCGTCTTAAACCACAGAGCTCGCCAAAAAGCACAACAGTTTACAGCCACATTGACGCACACGAAGGTGGGTTGGATACTCGCATGAAGATACCAACTGTTGATTGCGAGCGTACTTATATACGTCACTCATTCCAAAAACAAATATCAGGCCATTTCGAGTTAGGGTTGTTGATCTTTCGATCTACACTGGAAAGATACATCACAAATATTAGCTGATCCACTATTCCTTCTATCTTACCAGACCGGTGACCAAGACAGCCGGTTAGACGACTTATTAACTGATTCTGCTCGTGTCTGTTTGGATGGCGAATTGAGCTATTTTCCAACACCATGGGGGCATCGGTCAAAAGCATTGTCCCAAATAACAAACGAAACTTCCTGTTCATAACGCGAGAGAGACAATCAGAGCTCTCGGAAGGAGACGAGCAATCATGTGGCAAAATTGCCATTGACGTCGAAATCAACCCAGTAGTTCACAAATGCACATCACAGACCACACGCATGAGGTATACAAGTGATATAAAAATCTAAAAGCTGGTAACGATCGATGATATTCGTTTTCGTAACAGTGAAAATCCAGACCAGTGTACCCCCAGTGATGAAACATACGCATGAAGGACGATATTTTTGCTAAGAGACATCAAAGGTCCACAAATGCACCGCAGAATGCCTACCTTGGCTTTGGAGGATCCGCCAGATCCCTTGCTGGTTGAAGAAGCAGCAACAGAGCTACTGTCCGCTTTGGCCGTGCCCTCGGGAATCTGGATCAGTACGCACGGGGATTCACAACCAGTTGCCAGGCTACATATAACGTAGAAGGGAATAAAATATGAAGGATTACAAAACAACAGAAAGAAAAATAGTGGATGGTTCCTCCGGTTTGTAAAAGTACAATAGAAATTGTTCCGTGAGTTCAAAATGTTAAGGACAGATGCTCCCGATTTCCTGTTTAGTCAAATGTGGTCAGCACGTAACAATCAAACGTGAGTTTCAAACAGGAAATCTCCGCGTTTGACTGTTAATCTAAATGAATAACTGAACCATTGAGGACGACGATGTATGCAAGAAAACCAATTTTATTGATTCCGTTCTCGATATGTAGTAGCTGACGCAGAGCAGAAGATCCAACGAACTGCCTTGAACAGTTTGTGCTCACAATTAATTATGTAAAATGCATGACGGAAGACAGTTTGATGTACTTCATGAGCTAAAAGCTTCTAACCTTATTTTGACCACAGTGTAATCGGAAATAATTCATGTTTATTGTTAACACCAAAGAACCCGCTACACAGGCGGACAGCACTGTAAACTACACCGGGGAAATACCAACTGATCATGAGTGCCCCATTCGCATGTAGCTCTGTATTTAGCTATTCGTACCTATATGGGCATTTTAATAAGTGTTGTCATCGTACAGTTGCCGTAAACACCTATCTAGTGTAAACTTCTCAGTCTATCGACCGCCAGTTGAGGGAACCCAGGCCGTGTATGCCTGTCTTTTACTCGAGTACAAAGTAGTCGGTTATGGAGGGTATATTATCAAAGCATCATAGGAAATACCACCGAGAAGTTCTTCTTCTGGGTACCGGTGCAATTTGATGAACCGCCTAGGTATACTAAACGAACACAGCGGGCAAACAGTTGGCTACAGCTACCCCTCTATACCAATACTTAATTCCCAACTCCATCGAAGGCGGCCGCATCACAGCAGGGAAACTTTGTTGTATAACGGACATTACCAATTATTTTACTGCTTTCGGGCGACTGCCTCCTGAAACAGGATAAGTCGGCTCCAGGCGGATATGAAGACTGAAAAGTGCAAATTTCGTCTATTTGCGATGAAAGTGAGCCCCGATATGGTGGCCAAGTTGTTTGCTGAGTGTGGTAAATTCGTTACAAGCACTCCACAACCAATCGAGGTGACATCATCAGTGTGAACAAGCCGATCAATAACTGTGCACCCTGAGCTATGAGCATCGTCCTGTATATCACCGCTCGACTTGCTTCAGTAGTAGCGTCCTCAAAGAAGGAAACGCCAATATTAGTTGCAAAGTTGGCTGGCACTGTTGATTAGCTGATCTTTGCCGGTCACAAGTTCAAATGAGCAACATGACTCCTTTGTATCGGCACACTTTATTGATAAATACACGGTATGTATTGCCATCTCCAAGAGACAACTCACTTACACTGTGTTTTGACTATTGCATTTTCGCGACTATGATATTCTGTGATCCGGTTCAAACCAGATTCTATGAAAAACACTGTTTTTACTGGCTCAGATGAAACGGAAGAGTCTGGAAACTGTGAAACGTCCGTTCATTGTGAAAATGCTAAGGATTAGTTCACCTGACTGACAAGCTGTGTAGTCTCCAATTTAGTTCGATATCCTTCATAAGCGTACAAAAATCCTCCCAGAAAAGTAGGGAGGCGCCAATCGCAGAATCACAGCCCTATGCACCGGGATGTTTGGACCGACTGTATTTTACGAAATTTTTATCAAAACGTGAATTAACACTGTCGTTTGAAACTGCTCGGCCTAACTTGCTATTCTTAGTTTTTTTATAAATAAGGGACGAAAAGTGTAACAGCATTCAATACCTGAGGCTTTAGCGCATAAAAGTACATAAAAAACCTAAAGGGAATAGTATACACATAAGAACAGCTCCGAAGATGCCGTTGTTGACAGTACTACTGTGATTTGCATTTACTAATCCGGAAATGCTACTCCGACAAGCCTCAGTGGTCCAAGTGTATCTGCCACGTAACCGAAGCGAGGTGCACGATGAAGTTCTTAGAAGAAAATGTTGTTTTATGACTATCAACTAACAACAAAAACTGAGGTCAATCTAGATGCAGAAAATCTCGTAATCCGCTTGTCTCGAAACTTACCATTTTGATTCGTATGGAGCGTCACAAATATAGTAGCCACGTCGCTGAAGTTGGATAATGTCACCCTTCTTCAAATCCTTCAAAGCGGGATCCCCCAAGAGACATTGTTCGGTCTAGGAGGAAAAAAACTGAGGCTTGTATACATAGCTAAAGGCACGAAGCATTTGACAACGAACCTTCCCAAAAGTAAACATCAGGAAAAACAGTTGCGTTGTGTGGGAAAGAACAGTTCCCTATTGTCAACTCAAGTCTCAGAAGTATGAATTCTGCGACAACAAAAACCAGATGGCCTACAATCCACAATACCCAGTGCACCGCTCGCTCACGATCGATCATATGTCAGCTACCCATGTTGGGTTGCCGAACAATCGTAAGAAAACAGTCCTGTTACAGTAACTATAACCTTTGGTGTTAGTAGGAACAAGCCCTAAAGATACCAGATAGTGTGGCTCAGTGGTGCAGGATTAAGAACACTGTGTAGCGGTACACACCGAATCCGAGATAATACCCTGATGGCACTAAGGCGTTAGGCCGCCGACAGAACAGATTCGGCGTAACTCACAGAATAATTCTATTGGTGTTGTCCTTACCACGGTTCCCATTGATTCCTAACAAGTCTAAATCAGTGAGTGAGTATCGTCACGATCGTACCGCGTCACTACATCCACCCTGTGAACTTATCCGATCCTTGAGCATAACACGTGAACAAAAGAACGATAACCCTAACATTGTGTTTTTCAAACTGATTTGACCTAGCAACGAACAGCTGAAGGTTAGTATCAGAAAATAACTCACCTTGGATTCCCGATTGATGAACAACTTGAAATCGTCGTCTTTGGTAATGATCGCCTTAGTCAACAGGTGATCATAAATTAGACAAGTGACTGGGGTAAGTGAAGGATTTTGTTTTCCAGGATCAGCCAACCAGGTGACCTTGAGGGTCTTCTTGTAGTCCTAAAAAACAATAGATAGAAAATTAGCACAAAAGAGAGATTAAGCTGGGATTCAGTTGAGTCTCTAGTGAAAACCAGATTGATATTCAAATGAGCGTATTCAGCGAACAATGAACAGAAGCTTGAAGGTTCGTGTAGTGAGACATCAGTACAACGAAAAGAAACTCCTCTAAAGAAAGGATTCCCCACTGGAGAGTTCCTAGTAGCATCCTGCGTTAGTCACGCTCCAGCACACCAACGCCTTTAGGAGAAGCGAAATGGCCCGGTTTCCCATGGTGATTTTCCTTGCAGAGAACTAATTTAACTGAGTTACTCCATCAGTTACGTTCTCTGACATTTAACTATTACTAAAGAAAGGCGGATTAAACAATGAAACTGTTCCAGGATGTGAACCTCTCTTAAAACCAACTGCTTGAGAAAGCACACGCTGGGACACATGGGATCTGATTCACAGCACGATGAACAAAAGCCAAACACTGACATAAAAACCGACGTAGTTGATGCAGAATAGCCTGAAAAGAACAAACCACTACTTACCGTATCTTCTAGGTTCAGCTGAACATCGACTCCTGTTACAAGGCTATCCTCCCGATTGATCTTGACCACCCGACAATTGCCCCAATTGATGAACGTGACGTTCTCACCTTCCTTGAAAGAAACTGCATCAGCGTGCTCCACATAAATTACGGGCCCCAGTAAAATTGAACGATAGCCTAGGTTCTCATTTTTTGGATGAACTAGAACCTAATGGAACAATCGCACATAAGGGCAGTGACGTTATGGGTAGTAAAATGAATAAAAAAGTGACTTGGTGCAACCTAGAAAACGAATAGTCCAAACAGTCACTTGGTTAAATTGTGGTACGTTTCCAGTGCAGAGCAATCACGCAACCTTGGAGAGGTCTGAGGAATGAGATACTGAGACAATGTTCAGGCCCAAATGAGACTAGTCCAGAAGTCAGGGATGAAATTGATTGACGGACCTAACGGTCGGACTTTCGTGTTACCAGTCTGCATTAACTGAAAGACGTTCTTACTGAACACCAGTTAAAATCCAGACGAATGAAAAAGCGACTTACTTGCTTCTCTACGAGGGAAGTTTGCCCCTGAACTCGAACAGGAACCAAACCATGTGGTGCGTGATTGCTGGGATCGATGGCGGCGGGATCAAGCAATAGGCCAGTGTAGCGGGGAGCAACAGGATCAATGACCTTTTTGTTGAAAGCCCAAATTTTATCCCATTCCATTTGAGCAGATGATCGACTGCCGCCTTGGGCAAGAATAAACTGACGTAGCCCCTCAGCAGTCATACCACGTCGAAGGATTCCGGAGACAGTAGGCATTCGAGGATCGTCCCAGCCATCTACAATCCCTTCTTCCACAAACCAGGTAAGCTTGCGCTTGGATAAAACCGTGTTTTGTAGAGCAAGTCGACTGTAATCAATCACATGGGGGCAACGGAGTCCTGAAGAAGTGAAACAATCGACAGGGTCAGTGGCAACGGCGAGAGGTGCAAACTGAATGAAAACGGTATTTCGTACTCGACCACAAGATGGAACACTAACAGGGGCGTTAGATACCAATACAATGACATTATCGTGTCACAAGTCACAGGCTATCTCTACCGGTATCACCTGCACGTGCGAAAAGTCACCGACAGCACGTGGTCGTGGCTAAAAGAAGACAATGTATGAACATGGATTTAGATTGGAACAGCAATCATTTATTAGCGAAGAATGTTTTGATCGTGAGTTGGAGTGCAATTGAATTCAACCTTTTGCTGTTGAAATCCCGCATTTCTTCACTCACAATAACAAAGTGAAGGAATTCCAGTTCATCGCAACGCAAGCACGAGCAAGTTTCGCGCCTGTTGATCCTGAAAGTCTTTTACCGGTAACATAAAGCCTTTGATTCGCAGAGCTGTTGAAGTGCGAGGTCTTGATTAAAGCCATCTATGTTACACAAAAATGGTTCACCTATGAAGGTCATTTGAAAATCGAAGGGGGCAGTTTGTGGAACAAGGCGGATAGGCGTAGGTGTTTAGGATAACTGCTTTCTAATGCGTGTCAGCTATTTGCTTCGCGACTATGCAATGAAACCGACGAAAAAAATGAATGATTGTTACCGCTCAGTCAGCTTTGCGAAAGCCGAGGTGACTACTGAAATATAAGAGAGTGAAGTAACAAACTGACAACTATTTTTTGCAATTGACCATGACTTTCGGCCACAATAGAATAAACAACTTTCAGAAATCTTTTGGAGGTTCAACAGAGGGGGTGAGTATTTTGCTTAGATCTTATAAGAAAGCTCTAGTGAAATCGGTACTGTTCTTGGTGAGTAACAGCCAAACTCCAGGTAACTTAGAAAGTCTTTCGACACCACCATAAAGCCCCAAGAATAACAAAGTTTACGTATCTCTCTACACGAAGACAGAAAAACAAATCAAACAGCTAGTTAAATTCCCATTCACTGACATGGTTAGGAGAAACAAGCGAACATTTTCCTTGGTCAACAAACAAGCTTGATTGTAGGACAGTGTCCCCACCCATGTGGAGCGCGCGTTAAAGATTAATGATATTAGTCGATCTCTTCGTGTAGTGTATATGAGGATAAAACGATAAGCAAGCTTGACAGTTTGTTGATCAGTCTATCTGTACCCATAAAGAGTATACGCACTGCAAGTATCCCGTTTCGCGATCCTTCCTGATCGGAAGTCTAATACTCCTGCGAAGTAAATTCAAATCAAACCCGTCTCTTCATAGTAATTATTCCTGGCTTGCATTGCATTGCTCGCCTCATTTATAGCATGAACTTGTGTGCCATTTGTTTCGGAAAAGTTTGGTAAGCAATCGATGAACTTGTATGATTCCTCCGCAAAGAATGTAGCTGGTGAAAACCAGTGGCTAAAAAAATACCGAGTATACCTATGGTGTCGTCAAGCTGTAATCAATGGCGACTGCATGACCTCCAAAACCATACGTTTCCGGCCCTTTGCTACAGATACGGTCTTGATGTTGTCATTGGGAAAATCCATTTGTTTCATCTTTTTGACCAAGATCCCTTCCGTTGCGAATAATAGGATCTACACCAATACTATTCGCGCTCCCCGCTATTAGCCATTCGCAGTGAGTCACATGGAACAATACTCTCATGGTATTTTTGTGTCTGAGCTCAAACGCAAAACTGGCTGGGAAAATAACAATTTTTCATTGCATAAGCTAACTTGACACAAGGAGAGGAACAGACAGGGGTAGGACTGTTTTACTCCTACACTTACCGAGAGCTTGACAAATCCAAGCGTACTGTTCATTTCGGTCGTTATACTCTGACGTTCGAAGGGCATGCGTCACACCTTCGATGCTATCGACCACGGGACAAGCAAAGTCGTAGATCGGATAAACACTGAGAAAAAGTAGAAGGGGAGCAAAGTGGGATACAATCAGAAGACAGTACCACAAAAAAACGCCACCGGAGCACGGGTGTATTTAGCTGCTTGGGAGCTGAATATCTGGAAAGATCAACCCTCAAGTTATTTGGGCATTCTTCGATAGCTGGGATAAATAAGACCATACCGGTTGGTGGCATGAAGAGCCAACCTAGTAACAGTTTACTTTGGAGGCTGTTGAAAAAATATGCCGGCTACAGGTCCCTCTGGTGAGGAGATGACAACGTCAGGTTCTGGAAACATCCCGATAAGTTATCAAATCAGGAGATTGGAATCTACTTCTACGCGATCTCCATTTGACAGACAGAATTGGAGATTGGCGAATTCGTTCTTGAGTGACAGCTTGAATCACTAATAGAGACTGTATAAATGTGCCGTGTTTTATCTTCTACCCCAGCTTGTGGGGAATATACTTGCCGTGCTGCGTGAGTAACTAGTCCACGCCACTCCTTCCGACGACCAACAATGGTCACATGTGCCGATCTACAGAAATTGTGACAGTGTCTGGAAATGAAAAGTGTCCCTTCAAGATCCTTGTATCCTATGAAGGCTTTATATGTCTCCTCCCGTGAGCACATACGTGTCTGCGGAAAATTCTCTCCTGAGTTTACCCCAACCAGTGGCGTCAGGCAAGGATGTCCTATGTCGCCGTTTCTCTTTGACTTCGTAATCAATATGCTGTTTAAATTTGGTTCATCTATCTCTAACACCTTGTGGATAAAAATATATCCGAGGTGTTCGCTCACAAACACTGAGAACACCGACGACATTGCCATACTTGGATTAGAGCCTTAAGAAACGCAAATTATCTTAAATAACCTAAGTAATGCTGCTCCACAGTTCGACAGGTGCCTCACACTTGTAGATTGCAAAGCGTTTCCGCAAGATTGGTGGGGATGAAACCCAAACCTCATGCCTACAAATAAACCGATCGATGTTACAGATAAGTTTATCTCAGCGACTGCATAAATCCCGGCTGTCTGGGAGAAAACTAAATCAGCTGCCGAGTTAGGAAGGTCGTGACAACGTTTTTAACCTCTGACATTTGTGGCGTCAAAGTGGCACCAGCTTGACTGTCAAGGGTAGAACGTACAATGCCGCCGTTCGATCTGCCCTACTTTGTTGACGGGAGATGGAGACCTTCGAAGGTATCATCATCACAGACAACACCAGTGTTGACACTGATGCTTCACTGCCGTACAACCATAAAAACCGTTCGGCTACATCACCCTTTTGGTGCTTAACTGCCATGCAACCCGAAGGAAACACGAGGGCTGGGATAATATCAGGTTGCCCAAGCATAAACAGGGGAAGTCGAGAGGCAGGGGTCAGGTTCGAACCACGACCCTCAGCCTCAGACCAGATAGGTGGTGTATGCTTTCCGCGACTGAAGTACCTGCTGCACAACCAAATACCCGTTTTGTAATTATCTCGTCGCGAATTCGTTGATGCCATCCGAAACCAGCAGTACTTCTGAGGGATCAGTGGTAAAAAAAATCTGAAGATGCCTCATACCATCTGCCCGCAGAGGTCATGTTTCGTACCCATACAACAATACAGCCTTTTCTGTAGCCTGGTACACGCGACCCAGTGATAGGCCTTTTTGACGCCACAAGTGACGCAAATTAGCAAACGAGCCTTTGAGGTTCTTGCACTGACTTCATCAGACACACTTCCGTCAGAGCTAATATAACTGCCGAGGTATGTGAAGTTATCCGCAACCTCTGGTGCTTCTTGAATTGTAAGGGGTATATCCAAAAATACACGTTAAAAAGCGTGACATCGCACTTCGAAATTACTAGGCGCAAGCGATAGTGGTCAGTTTATTTAACAAGGCTAGTGCTGCGCGTTAATCTTCGAAGATGAATGCTCTCCGTGTTTGACCTTGGTACCCCTGGAGCATTTAGCGTGTATGAAACACCAGATCAGTAATGCCGAAGTACGCCGGATAGATTTTTGGAAAGTTCATCCTCCCTCCACAGGCTACGCTTGTTAAGCCATATGCTTCGTATGCCTCGCAGAGCCCTCTTTGCCCAGTCATGTGTCCGATGGAGGCGATCCAGAAGCGGTCAGTTTATGACCTGGTGACGAAGCACGGAGTACGTTACCAGTCAACTCACTCGCGCTGATAAATGCCGTCTTCCCGGATGGGGAAAAAGGGGCATGAAGAATCAATGATTAGTGCCCCTGAAAAACAGGTCTGTGTCAGGCTGCCAATGGCAGTCTTGCAACAAATCGATCGCCTGAACTGCATCCAATCCCTACCATACCGGACAAACAGAACTGTTCGATGTCAGTGAAGTGATTGGGCCATCACCTGCAACACGTGGGGCTCTGTACCCCATTCTTATCCTCAGTGAACGAAGCTGTAACAACTGGGACCACTGCATTTCGATGTACAGTTTGTACCTGAAAAAAAATAACCAGTGGATGCCTTGAGTACAAAAACACCACTGGAAATATGTCCACAAATTCCTGAACCCTCTCGCCTACTCGGACGCCAGTTGGTCCACGGAAAACAAACTGACTCACTTGTATTTACTTCCTGTCCGCACATGAGACTCTCGTTTGCAACGATAAATGGTCGGATCCCGAAGGGCTCCATTGTTCGAATTCATGTCGATCTTGGCTCGAACGCAACACTGGACACCAAACTCGGTGCCTTTTTTCATTTCCTCCCACCACTGTAAGTTTTTCTCCACAGCTAAATGAACAAAATTCATAGAAACAATATACTGTACCACAAACACTTTACAACATCGACATATACGACAAAGAACATACAACCAGACTGGGATTAACCCATTGCTTCCATTAAATGAAACAATTCCCAGGTCTACCAAAAACGCAGTATGTATCACATTGTGTTCCTGGAAGCAAAGACTTTGGTCGCCTCATACTCCCATTGTAACCAGGACAATAACGAGCGTGCAGGGGTGACAGGTGAAAAAACAAATACGGGTCAGTCATTCAGCTTCGATCAACTGGACTGGATTCATTGAGTGCCTTGTTCTGCTCTGTCAGCAAGCAGAGGACCATTGTGCAGCCTATAACGGAAAAAACTGCCACAAAAATTGGAAGGTGCTGAGTTGGTCGTGAACTGAGACTAGATCATCAGCAGAGATGAAGTATGCAAATTTTCGTTTTCATTTCGTAATCAGGTACCCACCCGAAAAATTCTGCTTTTGGGTGCGCGTCCGAGCTGGAAACTAGAAATCATGAAGCACTTCAAGAAAAATTGAAAATTACATGTCGAGAATCAACTTGGGCGAATCTAATAGAATACCTTGCTTGGTAAGTCATGCTATATAGAGGTTTACTGCTTGCACAACCAACTCAGAAAAACTAATGGACGATGTTCAGTCCAGAGGAACGAAGTGCAAGCGTGAGTTGACAGACTGCAAACGTTGTCAAGAGATGTAAAAGATTGACGTTCGACGGGATTGCCAAAAACATTCAACAAGCACATTTGGAAAGCGATCGCTTATGGGACCAACCAAATGCGCCTTCATTAGAGCAGCGGTTCAATTGTCAGCCTTTTCGAAAAAAATGCAGCGGCAGGCGTGTGCTGATTTATTGTGTTTACGCAATTGGAGCTGAACCCGGAATAACTTACAGTTTTCACGACAAACCGAGGGAATCCGGTTCTCCCTCTCCACCTTCATTTTCTCCCCATCTGTGTTATCCACATATGCATTGCCCTCTCGAATCATTTTCTCACAAAGTTGTATCAGCAATTCAAAGTGATCAGATGTATGCGTTCGAACGTCCCAGTGCACGCCCAAACGTGGCAAGTCTGATAAAATGGATTCTTCGTAGGTTGCCTTCTCTTTGGCTGGATTAGTATCGTCAAACCGTAAAATCAGGCGGCCTTTAAATGTGTCCTGATATTGAAGTAACAACAGAGCAAAAGGACCACAATGTGGTGCCGCATTGATACAATCAAACGCAAAAATTAACAAACGTCTATCAATGAAGTGAGAAAGAACCGGGATCGGTTACAAGAAAGGACAAGTTACTATACGTTCTTAATGAAGAGCAGATCACACTAACGAGCAATCAAATGCAGTAACCTCCTTCAAGACCTGCCACCAAAGGGAAAGGACTTTCTGCCTCACCTGAAAAAAGTGGTACTCTCCTGGGGTCACGTATAGGATTGAACCGTCAAAAAATTTGCGCAAAAATTAACGGATTTTAGGGGTAATTTTTTGTCCCTTGAGAAAAATAGTGCACTTCACACTGAATAACTCAGTCTGAACACAAGTTTCGGCCAATGTTTCAAAGCGAATCGCGAGATGGCCCAAGTGGTTAGAGCGCGAATTTACTGAACAGAAGGTCCGTGGTTCAAATCCGACCTCCGCCTGTCGACTTCCCCTGTCTAGTCTTGGGCAACCTGGCAGTATCCCAGCCCTCGTGTTTCCTTCGGGTGGCATGGCAGCTAGGCACCGGAAGGGTGCTACAGGTGAAAGCGAATCGCCTGACATAGCCAATGGTCTAACTGATGTCTGTCGACGTCATTCATGCTTTCTGCTTTCAGAGACCTCGTTTTTCAAAGCGTCGCATCAAAATCTTCATTCTAACCAACTTCACCCTAGTACAGTACAAAACCGATACTGGCTGCTGACAAAAAACAGCAACCATTCGATAGTCATCCTGAAAATGGTCCCCATTAGAAGACTAGCATTCATCTTGAATTGGCATAGTTTTGAGGTCATATTTTCTGTGCTTCCAAAGGCAGGTCCTAGGTGGAATTCGGTTGTACGATTGAAAGGGAAGAGGTGCACTCAAACCCACCTTGCATTAAAAGATCACCTTGCTTTAACAAGAATAGCGGGAATGTGCCGTCCTCAGCGTGTCTACCATGAACGGTGCATAGGTATGTGCCGGAGCCACACCTTAAACATGCCCCATCAACGTCCCAACAAACGAAGCATTGTTTCATATTACAAACGGTCATTGGCAAGTTTCGTCGAGAACAGTCCATGAGACGTAATTGGAGCGGCTATAATCAAACGGAATGTTTGAGATCTTCGAGCCTCAACGGATGGTGTCCAAGCTAGAAACCCATAGCCAATTCCAGTAAACAGTGTGCTATCAAGTATTGACCGGACTTCTAAGCGCGATCTTATCCGTCGTTGTGTTAGTGTTCGTTAAGGTCCCTAAGGATGTTGAGTTCATTCTGCTAATGGTATACCACTGAGAGGATGTTTGGAAGCATTTATTCTCGTAAGGATCCGTTGTTCTTGATCGCTTTTCTTCGGGGAATAGCAGGCCTTTTTGGTTCATGATTGCCCTGTCTGTTGTTCTTTGGTATGATGTTGTTCCTAACTGTTACCCGTCTGCTAGGCACCAGTATTTACCACTGATGTGCTGCCAATGATGACGCCACCTCAATCAGTGTAGAGGATATCACCCATCAAAACCAGTAACTGGGCCACAGAGATAATCACCCATAAAATACTTACTAAAATCTAAAGGTAAGACCATAAAAAGTGATACTGGGAAGGAGGAACTCAGGGCAGAAATCGCCGTTCCCAGTGTGACGATAGGATAAACATTTATCGAGCAGTAGAAACGGTATACTGGGCTTTGGTCACAAGTACTTTAGCTATTTTAGTAAGGTTTCTGGTAGTTTACATACTCTCAGTGTGTTGGCTTGGGTCTCAAGCGTAATTCGTCCAAAATTGGCAACCAAGTCCTGAAGTCTGTTCTACAGACTATGGAGTCCACGGCGTTTCTCTGGGGTAAATCGCTTCTCGGGGAAGACGCCGTGGATTTGCCTGCCGCTGCTATCACCATTTAGACGGTCGCCCTCGGAAAGGATATCAAACTTCACTAGCCCATCTTCTACACGCAAAGCTCAACAAAAATCGGTCATATCACACGTTCCAGTAATTC